AGATACCTCGAGAAAGCGCGTTACTAGATTATCTTTGATTCCGAATGAAAGTTCCTTTAAACAAATGCGACGTATACGAACGAAAATTCGATTTCATGCTTAAGTAGTTATATTTGTGCATAGTCAGACGGTGCTTGACGCATCTCTCTCTCTCTCTCTCTTTCTCTGTCCTTCTCTGTACGCTCAAAGGATATAAACGAGCGAATCTCAAACGCCAGGACGTGGAATAAATGTGCGCTTAAACTCGCTTTCACGGCTAAGTAGATGCCGCCGCATTCGGACGGCTATTACGAATCCGCTCGATCAGCAAAACTTGCGGTGGCAATCAGAATATCTTATTCTTAATATTTATAATCTTATTCTTAATATTTCGCTCTTTCTCTACTTGCAATTTAAAAATGTCGTTTCATTAAAAAATAATCTGTTTTTTTTTTATAAATACTCCGATGTTGACAACGCATGTTCGTATTAAATGAACCGGAAGAGTCGTATTTCGTGCAAACAAATCCGGCGACCAACAAGTAGCAACATAAATTCGATTTCACGAATAGTTACCCTAGTAAGTAGATACATAGATGCGGACAAACGGGAGTAAATACGTTCGTGTGTAGAGATAGCCAATATAGATACCTCCGCGGCAAGACAAAGTAGCTAACGTCCGTAAAACGGGCCGGCAAAGTAGATGTGTACACACGCCGGCAAACAAAATATAGATACCTTCCGTACGACAAGTGCGGACAAGTTTTAAAAATGGCTTTCGCTGCACGGCAGAAGAGAATTATATTAACGTGCTTGACAGGAATTTATCACATTACTAGAAAGAAGAAGTATGCACTCGACATAATTAATTGGCAAAGTTTTATTTATGGAAAACTGAAAACAAAAAGTACCATATGGGAAAATATCGTGATATTTATTCGCATTATTAATAAACAGCGAAGAAATAATGTCTCGCGACCAGCATACACTTTTCGTAATTATTTTTAGTATAGCAGAGATATTGTTAAACGTTGTTGTATTATTAAATGATGTTGTTTAATCGCTATCCAACCATTTCACAAATCTTTCAGATTTATACGCATTCGTTTGGCATTTGTTTTGACTTACACAATCTGTGCCGCTGCGAAATCCATTTATGTGAATTATTATATTATTATTTTTATCTGAGCATCTCTCGGACACGCAACGCATATCCTTCCTGATCAGAGGATACGCCGCGCCATCCGTCCGGGCGAAGGTCAGGATTTCCTTTGGAGAATTGTCGATAATGCAGTTTATACCATGCAGCGCGTACGGCGGATCGCTTATCGATTTCGGCACCCAGTGACCTATTTTCCAATCGAGCTCGAGGAAGCGCGCTCTCGTAAGGACACAGAGCGGCGCCGTTTTCGATGAGGACACGCGCCTTAGGTTGCTCCAAAGGAATGAATCAACGGCGCCTTTTCGGCGTCGCGCTTCTCGTCGCGTATAACATAAACATTCACTCGCAATTTGTTTATTTCTTACGCGATTTTCGTTCTAGCCGACAACGTGTGAAATGGCGCGTGTAATAACAAAGATTCACGTCGAGTGCAAAACACTCGAAAAACTTGGAAAAATATTTGGCTAATAACTTTTTTTTTAATCTATCGGTGAATCCTGTGTAATTGAACAAATTAAAATGAACGCCGATATAGATGAATATTCGCAATAAACCAGAAATATATATTTGCGAATATTTGGGCATGTAATAAATATGCAGAATATTCAATAACACTGTTATACGACTAATAATTACAAAAATAGCCCGATTTTTTTTCTAACAAATATGTATGCCGATAGTAAGACTTTATCACTCTGCCGTTTAAATTATTTTAGAAAAGTTGCAAAGCGCATGTGCGGCACTGCGTCGGAGTCGACCGCATGCACGCTTAATAAGCTTCGTGTTTCGCCGTCCTCGGCGGTAATGGTCGGATCTTCGAGGTCCTTCGTCGAGGACCTCGGGAGACCAGGATCGATCGCGTTGCGAACGATCGACCAAACCGCATTGACCGAGGTTGTTGTCCCCCCTGTGAATATACGTTTCGAGAACTGTATCCCGCTCTCAACCGAGTACTCGCCTGATGAAGTTGACCAGTGTCTCGATACCGATACACTTAGACGTGCATCAATATCGTCGGTACTGTACAATCGATTGATTAGAAATCGGACAGAATCAGTTGGATAATGCAATCATTGGTCGAATGGTAAATGAAACATCAGAATTAAACGTCAGTGAAAATCCCGAAGCGTTGATTAAAGGTGTATATGTATATCGAGAGATGAAGATTAATTAATACTTTGAAAGTAACATATGCGCGCATAGCAAACTCGCGGTTTAATTGATTTAATTGTAAACCAAAGCTTCCACGCCACAAATGATTTCCAACAAAAAACGATATCTCGGGCAAACGGGTATAATTTAAACGTAAACTGCGTTTATTTTAGAGAAAGTTTAATTAACACGCTGTGCGCGAGCAAAGTTATAATAATCCTTAAAACTTCGGCAGGCGATCCGTCATTACGATAATTAGGATTGGCCCACTTCGGAAAGCGACACGTGGGTGTTCGAGTGCGAGTTCTCGCATGAGAATGTTAACGCATTCCCCGAAAATGACGTGTAAATTGAATTTCATTAAAAACGCCACGTAAAACGGCCGCAATTTCCTTTATACGATAAAATATAATTTTGATCTCGCGTCAATTTCTTTTGCGTATATTCCGAATTACGCGTCGAGTGCTGAAAACGCAATTACGTCTTTATTTTTTATTTTAACAGAAAGATTTTACGATTTAAAATATGGTATCTGCAGTTATGTAAAAAAAGAAACTACTTTCCCAATAAATTAAAAACTTGATATTGAAGGAGTTAAAAGTCGAGAACAATTGGCACAGGGCTTTTATTTGTTGGAGGGCAATGTGAAATTCCAGGCGGGAATTCCGTTAATACACCTGCAGTCTGTTAATACACTTCCGTCGACGTATAGCGAAGAGTAATAGCGCTTTCCGCGAGACTTGCATTTATTCAACATGATAAATAGAGTAAAACTGAAATAAGTGGCAGTCAAAACAAATGCCTGACGCTTGATGCGTGTACGCACACGTGGTGAACAGCTGGTTTGGCACCTCCGCCGTAAACATGTCATGTAAACACGTGTAAGTGAAGGGAAACATGTGAAACTCGCATTACACCTGCCATTATCATCACAGATATGGCCACGATGATCAAAGACCAAATTGGCAAACAAATTTACGATATCTCTCTCTCTCTCTCTTTCTACGTTTCCGAAACCAAAAATATTAATTCGAATTGGCTAGAAGCCCAAAAACCGTTCTAATAATTTATTAATTCATAAAAATCATTCAAGATTTTACTAAAAAGCAAAAATTTTACTTCATGTAAAACATAAATTCATAATGTCAGACCGTGTGTAGTTTAATCTTGATGGCGTTATGAACAAAAGCAAATTTAACAACTTTATATTTTTGTTAAAGCTTAAAGATCTTAAGCTTAAAGATATTCTATATTTATTATTTTGCAAAATATCGAGTTAAAAATTTATTATTGTCTTTTAAAAGAATAGAAATAATTAATATGTTTTTTGCACCATTGAGAAAAAGATTCTATTAATTTTTCAATATATATTAAACGCATTCGTCTTTTATCCCATTTCAATTTATCGCAATCCATTCACACCGCAATACCAATCCTTAATTGCGCTCTTGTTTAGAACATATTAAGCGTGTACATTGAATATGCATGACAGACGATCGTCTTATACGAGCAGTTCGGCGAGTTTAACTCAGGCTGATTTAACCCGACACGACGAGATCTCGTGTTGCCTTTTGCAAAACAACGTGTGAAAAAACAATAGCAATTATCAAAAAAGAATAGGAGTTCTTAAAGAAATCAGCTTCAAATATCTAACAATAAAGATTTTAAATCGATCTGAAATCCAAAAGTTTTTGGAATAAAAGTGTAGTAAAACTCAAAGATGTAGAAAAGAAAGTTCAAGAATATAATTCAAGGATATCATAATTCAAGAGTCTAAAATTCAAATATATAATACAAGGTTCTAAAATTCAAGAGGTATCAGTTTGCAGAAATCAGAACCTAGAATTTTCTTGATTTTCAAGAGACTAAATGTTTAAAAATTAAAATTTTTCTTATTATAAAAAAAAATTTTTTTTCCCAGAATATATTATTCGAGATTCCGGAGATTTTTTCAGGATAAAATGTAACTTCTCTCTTTAGATAATCTTCTTTAATTTTCGCTGCACTATTTAAAAAGTTAATTCTACAGTTTGCGCTTTTAGTGGAAAACAAAGTTAATTCCATGTAAAAATTGCGTGACGCCAAGTGATAACCGGAAAATTGTTTATCATGTGAGCTTTTTATCAGACTTTTTATGCCTCACACCATACACCATACCGTAGGCAGGGCGGATCCCAGGAGTATTGCCTCACCCGCCGGCACACTAACACTGTAAAAAACGTGCTTCAAAGCCGCTTCATCAAAAACAGGAAGTCAGAAACGTCTCGTGGAATTATTTAAAGAGTCATTCGTCACGTAAACATCGGTCAATGAGCTTCCGAGTTTTTCGAAAAAGGAATGTAGCCGGGATAAGACTTGCATTAAAGCCTAATTAAAATTTCACGGAGAATCAGGCGCTCTCTAATCCAATGAGGGCGTACATCTCTGTATAAGCTTCTCATTTCTTTCCAAGCATTCTATACGTGAACCAAACTCCGAAATTGAATCAAGCCTAATAGTTTCCTGCTTTAGCTCGAACAACCATTTAACGCTAAATGCGCGCCGAGAATACGGACCGAAAGAGAAACAATGGACGAAGAAGGGCGAAGGTTACGGGGAGGGATAGTAACAGAAGGAAATTAGGCTACTCTCGTATACATGTATATTATTACCGATATATGTATGTATGTGTACATGTAGCTGTGTCGGGAAACTATGATGGACTCACCCGCCAGCAACCAGGATCATCTGCATGTTGCATGGAGGCGGCCTCTTTGTCGCTTTTTCGCAGGGGGAGCAGTCCGGAGCGGTGAGTCCTCTAGTTTGGCATGCGGTGACAGAATAGAGCTATAGAGTAGGTAACTAGAGAGACAACGGAAGGAAAAAGGTCGCGGCCCTGCCCGAAGATCCAAGCCGCGGACAAACTCGACGAGTTTCGCTTGTATTTTGGCTCTAAAGATTTTTCTTCTTTTTTTTCCATTTTTTTTTCTTCTTGTGACATCCTGTTACATATCTATGATAATCAAGTTTATTATCGAATCTGTTTTGTAATTTAAATATTCAACACTTAAACGATCCCTTATACTTTATTTAAATATTCAAATAAGATTGCACGATGATTTGAATAAAAGAAATCCTATTTCACTCCAGTACTAACCACTATTGATTTGTAAGAATATTAATTCGTACTTCGAACGGGGCCGAAAGAAGAGATAGCTGATAGAGAGATAAGTGGAATAGTGAAAAGAAGTTTTCCAAAAGTACTCTCTAGAACGAACTAGCGCAATAAAAAACGAAGGAAGAGAAGAAAGGTTAAATAGTAAGTCAAATAGTAAGAAAAGTAATAAAAGAGAGAAGTAGAAAAAAGTATATATATATATATATGTATAAACAGAGTAATTCGGAATTACCATCTAAAATTTCGGCGATGCACATTAGCCTGGTTGCAAAAAAAAAAAATTAATCAATTAAATGAAGTTTATCTGAATTCTGCTTTGAATGCGTTACTTTGAATTTTGCTGAAATAAATAATAAAATTTTACATTTCTATATGAAATTCTAGCCAATATTTAATTAATGAATATTTTTTATATGTATAAAACATGTCTCAGAAGTTAGCAAAAGATGATATTCGATATTAAAAAGGCTTGACCAAATTTAAAACTTTGGCAAATAAAGTTTCAAGAATGTAAATAAGTAAAAGTTTGTTCTGCTGTTACTTTACAATGGCCTCTACTTTGACACAACTTTAATTCGAACTCAATAGAGAAAACATTTTTTTTTAATTTTATTTAATTACTGAAATATTTAATATGTTCAAAATATAATAGCTGCAACAGATTTTTAACAAGCAAAAATCGATTTAATAAATTAATTTTTCACTATTATTATTGAATATTCTAATGCGCTTCCAAAATTTTCGCTAGTATCTCCAAATTTTCTTGTATATCGAATGACCCATAACAGGATTCCAGCGTGACAATTATAAATTTTTAAATTTATTTTGCTGCCTCAAAGTTTTATATTCTATAATAAAATGCTTTACACATATACAGAATAGCTAATTGATAAAAAGGATTACATAATTAATTATTATATTTTCGCGCAGATTATATAATTTTACAAAAAAGAATAACATTTATATTATAGGTAAAGAGATGAATGCAAAATTATTTTATTTATAATTGATTCAATTCATATTAATGACTCAATTTATTTTTATGATATAAATACTTTAATTATACTGGAAGATATTGAAAGAGAAAGTGAGATGAACATTTTTAGTATTGCGCCGAATGACAATAAACACTTTTCAAAGAACTACCCGATTACTCTCTCAAACCATTTACCTCGGCACATACGTTATTAAGACTCGGGCTAAAATAGCTCCCAGAGCACCGTTACGACTTATATACTTCCTTCCTGTTACAGGACATCCTTATATACAGTATGTCCCAGAGCTATCGCATTTCCTTTCAACTACAGGTTCTCTGATTAATTCAAAGTTGACTTTTCCTTAGCGAGAACTTGTGAAGATGTATAATTACAGTGCGATGAATTCTGGTGTAAATCAATAACTAGAATGCTATTAAGCATATAATTTCTGAACATAATTAATAAAGTGAATGAAAATTAATTGCGAAAAGAGATTGAAACAAACATTTGAAAGGTACAATTATTTGTTCAGAAGTTCCGAATCAAATCTCGGCTAAGAATAATGTCAGCTTCAGACGCATCCGAGGATCTACAGTTAATGAGAGAAATGCAACAGTTTCGGAATATTCTGTATATATGTAGAACTAGATAGATAGAGAAGGAGAGAAAAGTACAGCGGCTAACTGGCGATGGCCCAGCAGATCGCCGTGGCGGCTCGCGCTATTGTACCTTCCCGCATGTTGCGTCTAACCACCACCGAGAGGCCCAGTGCGTGTGCCACCCACACACGCGTCGCAGGACCTTAACCGCGCGTCCACTTATTAGCGGTACCGTTCACTGTCACCACGCACTGTCACATGTCTCTCAGCGACGACGGCCGGGTCGGCGGCGGCGACGGCGGCGGCGGCGGCGACGACGACGCTGCCGTCCGAGTATTCCATTGCGCCCGGAAACGTGCGCGACAAAACCTCCACTTTCGAAATCCGCCCACAGATCGACGAGACGGGGTAATCGAGCGCGAAACAGAGCACAGATCAACCACCGTAATTCCAAATGGTCTCGTAACGATCACTTTGTGCGAGTGTGTGTTATTTAACAGTTTGATCCGATGACAAAATTCTTGCCTTTCTTCCGGCGTTCGTAGATGGAAAGTCCGGGTGGGACAAATGGATCGGAAGAGAGAGAGGAAGGGAGAGAAAACGCTCCGCTTCGATGATGTCACGCGACCGTGACGTAACGCGTAATGTCGCTTGGAAAATCTGTTCCGGGACGAATTCAGACGAGTCCACCGCGAAGCGTGAGTCTCTTCAAGGCTGCTTTGATCCCGTCTTAATCTTTCTAAACGTATTTTAATTAACGTATGCGAAAATAAGTCTCTCCAATTTTATGTACACATAAAGAAAATATTTTTGTTACGAGCTGATTCGTATGCTTCTTCATCCGTCGCGACAAAGTATTTTTTAGGAAGACGAAGAGAGATCCGGAAGATTCACTCACACGATTGCTCAATCAATGATCGCCACAAGGCCATTCGATCTTGCCGCCAGACGGGTCCACCTTCGACCACGTTTTTCCATTACTTTCACCGAGCGTATCCGGTGGAGTTCTGTGTCGAGACGCATTCAAGGACGGGAAAAACGACCAAGAAAGAGGAAACGTCAAATACAAATATGAGAAATAGAGCATCGGACAAATAAAGATGCAAGTTTTTTTTGTAATTTCCTGGGTAGCAGACGGGTCTACGGCATTCCATCGGTTACCAACCTAGTTTCCACTTCTTTAAAAAATCTTTAAGTCTTCAACTACAAAGTCTCTTGGTCAAAGATCAAAATTGGAGGAGGACGGAAAACGATTAAAAAACTTCAGAGTACGATATGAATGAAATCGTAAGATCTTTCACCGCATTTCTTTTTAATTACAAGTCTGATTACTGTTTCATCCGAAGGCGATCTTTGAACGTGAAGGAAAGTCTTTGACTGGCAAGATCAAAAAGCGTTCACGAAACGTGACATCTAGATCATTCAATGTAGAGCGCATATTTAATCGCGAGTATCAAAGGCCAGTAAGTGCATGCTTGAATAGACTCATGCTAAGAAGATCTCTTCAACATCAAGAATTAATTTACCCACAATTATCTTCAACCGCGCCGTCTCACATGATGAACTTGGCACTATGCATCATCGTACTTGGCGAAACGCGGCAAACGACATAACAACGGAAGTTCGCTCATCGTGCCCGCCACCAGGCGGGTCCATCAGTCCATTCGGATCATGTTCTATGAGCCTATCTAGATCACGTTCATCACTCTATCTGGATCGCAGTGACGAATTCATGGATCTCCGATTCGCGTAGACCGCGATCTCGAAACGGGACGGAAAGCGAGGAGAGGACGGCGTGTGTTAAGGGGAGCGGAGTCCGGAGCGAGATTGAACCACTCGACACAATTAATAGCGGCAACTACACGGTATTTTGTTCAGTCACGGCCGGGTCCACCTCGACGACCACGTTGCTAGCGACTGCCTTGCGTAACCTTGTCGATCGCCGGAGTGCGGAGGGTGCGTGCCGCCTGAAAGGGCACGCGGGAGGAGAGAGTTAAAGTGGGTGGGAGAGCAGGAGTCCGAACCGACCAGCGCGAGAAGAGAGGGAGGGAAAGGGGGGTGTATGGACGATCACTGTCACAGGTCACACTACCGGAGTCAGCGCGGAGTAGACTGGTCCACCAAGTGCGAGCACGTTTCGACAGCGAGCCCGGTGGGTTTCTGAATCGCCGGAGTGGTGCGTGTCGGGACGCCAGAAGCGGCGCAGCCGGGTGGGTGGTG